CAAAGTATAATAATTAATCATCACGATGCAAATCCGTTATCTACGTAATTTTATTTGCTCAACAAAACTATATAAATTCAAACATTTACAAAACAATTTTTATTAAATACATTTCATTGTCGTATTTGAATATAATTATGAATTGTAAATTTACATTCTAAAATTTTTGCAAAAATAATGATTATTGTACTATATTTTGAGTTTAGCGAGGGCGTTTCACTAAGTTCCAAACAATTTGCTGTAAGATTTTTGCTCTACGCCGGCCATAACAATCAAACCGAGCATTTTTACTCACCTCGCGCTATGAACGAGGCACATATTACCAAGTTTAAAATCATTGCCTCAGTTATGGCCGCAATAGCTATAAGGGCACTCTGAATGCGCCTGGTCCAAAACCATGCGTGGTGAATTTTTGAAACACCTTGATTGCAATGTAGTGCTGGTGGACTGGAGCGAAGGTAGTGATGGAGGTATGTTTATTATCATTATTATTTCATTTTTTACATTTTGTTACTAATACAACATTTCAATAATATACATAATGTACATAAATGTATTTTTAAATATCATTAATTTTATCAGGCACGAAAAAATCTACGTCCCTTAGCAAGTGCCATCACAAACTTTATTAAAGATTTGAAGGTATAAATAATGAATCAAAACAAAAAAAATTAAAATTGATTAACATGGCTGTATTGTAATTTATATTAAGATTTGAAAAAACTATCACTAAGCAAAGTGCACATGATCGGACAATCTTTAGTAGCCCATATATCCGGTTTGGTTGGCCATGTGTTTATAGGCAAGATCGGCCGCATAACCGGTCTAGATCCAGCTTGTTTGTTATTGTAATAATCTTGATCAATTTATTTTTTGTGACACAAGGATACCATATACAAAATAATAATTATTATAATTAAATTACTTTTCTATAGGGACCTAACGGTGGCTATGGTCAACCTGGCTGTTTTATGAACTGTTTCAAATGCCCCTTCAAACCTACCAATGGTATATTTTGCATTGCATGGTATATATCAATCAGCTTTCTTAATTAAGTTACATTAATGATTTTAATATAAATAGGTTTTGGGTCTGATTAGCTAATCGGCTTCAGTCCACAAGCACTACATTGCAATCAAAGTGTTTCAAAAATTCACCACGAATGGTTTTGGANTTGGGTCTGATTAGCTAATCGGCTTCAGTCCACAAGCACTACATTGCAATCAAAGTGTTTCAAAAATTCACCACGAATGGTTTTGGACCAGGCGCATTCAGAGTGCTCTTATAGCCATTTATAATAACTTGGGCCATAACTGAGGCAATGATTTAGACTTGATAATATGTGCCTCGTTTGTAGCGCTAGGTTTGTAAAAATGCTCGGTTTGATCGTTATGGCCGGAGTAGAGCAAAAATCTTACATCAAATTGTTTGGCACTTAATAAAACGCCCTCGCTAAACTCAAAATATAGTACAATAATTATTATTTTTGCAAACATTTTAAAATGTAAATTTACAATTCATAATTATATTCAAATACGACAATAAAATTTATTTAATCAAAATTGCTTTGCAAATGTTTAAATTTATATAGTTTTGTTAAGCATTACGTATATAAAGGATTTGCACCGTGATAATTAATTATATACAGTTGACTTTGGTAAATAAAAGTTTTATGAAATACTTGACAAAAGTAAAATTTTGAGAGAGAGAGAGAGAGAGAGAGAGAGAGAGAGAGAGACCCTAATAACAGATGCTTTGACAGTTATTTAAATTGTACGTAAACTATTGTATGTACATTTTTATTAAAAGTTAAAATTGCGTAAAATTGGATATTCAGCATTAATAATTAAATATAAAATGTGATTTTTAAAATTTAATAATTTTAATAATTAAGACATTTAATGCAATTAATTATAATGGTTGTTTAACTATCATCATTTTTTGCTGATGTATACAATGCACTAGTAGATTTGATCAAGGTAAAATAATAACTTGAAAACACTTAACAAATGTTATTCTTTGCAGATATTTAATTTTGATAACAAGCACTTTGTTTAGCAACTTACTTTATATTTTACCTAACTTAAATAATTTTTAAACAAACACAAATATCAATCAAAGATTTTATGCAAATATAATTTATTACAAATTAGTAGATTATAAATACACATTTATTTTATACAATAGCTTATAATGATACAACATTTTTAATTATCGACATAGTTTTTGCAGTCCTTTGAAAAGTTGACCACACATTTGCCACCCGACGGGATATCACCGCAAGTATTGCCTTTAATGGTATTCTCACAGCCGCCGACACCGGCCTTGGCCTGGTGGTGAATCTGATCAAGGTGATAATGGACGGGTAGGTTAGTTACACTTTTGTAAATAAATGATAACAATAAATAACAAATATATATACAAACCTCGAAACCATTTTTCTTGGGATGAGTGCCGGTATTGCCTTCAATAACATACTTATCTCCCTTAACATCGATGTGTGAGTCGGCAAAGTGTAGCCCTAATTCACCATGGCCATCAAAATGATTGCCCCGTATTTCACCACAACACGAGCCCTCTTTGATGTCGATAGACTCGGCGGTCACCTCCGGTCCGATCCGGTTGTTAAGCACTTTATTGCGGTCACTCTTGTCTGGTTTGCCACCTTGCCAATTGCTCACCTGTATGCCGTAAAGGTAAATTAAATAATAGAATCAAACTAGAATTTCTAACTAGCTTATCAATTAATTTTATACAAGATTACTCATTTAGCATTCATAACAATTAACACAAGTTATTAATTTAAATACTTGCACAATATGATAACAAAAATTACACCAAAAAATATAACCAGCATAAAAAAATTAAAAATAGATTAATAACATACCGCCTGTCCGAGGTAGACACCCTCGCCGTAACCCTTGTCAGTTTCGGTACCCCTCCCGGTGTGATGAATGTACGAGTTCTGGATTGTATTATCAGCGCTGTTGTACCGGAAGTGGACGCCCTCCTGCTTGATGTTATGCACCTCCACGTTGTCTATGAGGTTATGTGAGGCGCCCTCCAGTACTATACCCTTTGGAGAGTCGGTAACAGTAAAGCCCTTTAGCACCCAATGACTGCCTTTAAGCCAAAAGCCGTATTTAGTGCCGGAGATGACGGCCTGTTTAGAGCCGGTGAGTGTGATGGGGGCCGAGGCTGAGCCCGATTTGGTGGGCTCAAATGAACCATGGTACTTCCCGTCGTGCATATGTATGGTATCGCCCGCGGCTGCCGATGACAGTGCGCTGTGCAGTTGGTCAGCGTTGGACACCTCAATGGTCTTGCAGTTGCCGTAAACGGCGAGACAACTGAGCGTTAATATAATTGTGTATTTCATTATACAGGGAGTGTTTGTATAATGTATTACTAATTATTAATTGTATTGAGAATATGTCTCGCTTTTATATATCAGGTTGAGTTTGATATGAGATTATTTATATCTGTAAAGTAAAGTGTTTTTTAATTAATAAATCCGGGTTTAAACTAGATTATTGGTATAATATTTGTTGGTTAGCACATATTTAATCTAGATAATAAATACTAATTAGTAATTATCTAAATAGTGATGATGAATTTACGTAACAAGTACTAAAATGGTATCATATCTATTATGGGAATATTGATTAGTGCAAAATGATCGAGTACATATAAAAACAGTAATTATTAATAATAATTAACTCTGACGTGTATTTTGACATTCTTAATCAGAATAATAGTATGAAGTTGTTTATGAACAAAATTAATTGTTACTATAGATTACTTGCACCTTAAAATTTTGAAACTAGTTTATTTATTTTATTTATTAAGCAATTGTGTTATTGAAGAATACACTTATTTGAAAACTTGTTATCTAGATATTTATTTATAAATAAACATTTGTCTAACTTTTATTGATTACTCAGTGACACGGCTTAAATATTTTTTATAAACACATTTTATTTAAATATTGTATTGTTATTTGTATTTTCTATTTAAACTTCACAGAATAATTGTATTAATTTATAAATTATAGCAGTTATATAATAAATTTTAAATTAATAATTTGTTCACTAAAGCGCATTATGTAAATTTTGTAGCCACCTTGTTTACTCAAATACAGTATAATAATAATAACACTGGACTTCCTTTTCAAGCCCTTCCAAATCAAGCACTCGTATAGCATTTGCTGTACTAATGAAAATGACGAAATGTATAGCCAGTGCTTAAAAAGAAAGGGCTTGAAAAGGAAGTCTACTGTAAATTACAAAAAATATGGAAATTATTTTATTTTGATTATCTAAATAATTGTTATATTATTGTAGCCATCCACGTCTGCCTTGGTTAGTGATGAATCTGATCGGGGTAACTGGGTACTGGTAGGTTATGTACCAATAATTGATACGGTGTAAAAAAATATGATTACATTAAAATAATATTTAAAATAATTCTTTGAACAGCTCAACCTTATTTAATAATAATTTTTTATCTTATATAACATAATTAAACAATTTTTACTATGTTAAAAATATGCAATTTATTATTTTCAGTCAAATTTCTATAGAGCATATAAAATATACTTAAAATACATCATAAAAACAATTAATTTTGCACATAATTATCACAATCAATTGAAAAGTTGACCACACATTGGCCACCCGATGGTAAATCACGGCAATGGTTGCCTTTAATAGTATTACCGCAGCCACCGATACCGGCTTTTGTTTGATGGTGTATCTGATCAGGGTAATTAGAACATGGGAAGGTTAAATAATGATATTTGTAATTACAATAATAACTATTTACAAAAGTATAAACTATACCTCAAAACCATGTTTTAGTGGATGAGTGCCGATATTGCCCTCAATAGTATAGTTATCTCCCTTAACATCGATGTGGGACTCGGCATAGTTTTGTCCCGATTCACCATGGCCATCGAAATGGTTGCCATTAATTAGGCCACAACACGAGCCCTCTTTGATGTCTATACATTCGGCGGTAACTTCCGGTCCGATCCGGTTGTGGAGCACTTTATTGCGGTCACTCTTGTCTGGCTGACTATTTTGCCAATTATTAACCTGTATTTTTGGATAATGACATTTTATTATTTAATTATAGTTGTCTTAATAATTCAGATGCTATTTGATAAATTCATAAATATGTAAAAATAACTAACAATTTTTATAATATAAACTTAATTGATAAATATATTTACAACAATTAATAACTAAATTATAATATAAAAACTAATAAGCAATAAACACCAAATTCATTAAACATATGGCACATACCGCTTGTCCAATATAGACACCCTCGCCATAACCCTGATCCTTTGTGGTGCCCCTCCCGGTGTGATGAATGTACGAGTGCTGTAGTGTATTATCAGTGCTGCCCCACCGGAAATGTATGCCCTCTTGCGTAATGTTATGGACCTCAACGTTGTCTATGAGGTTATGTGACGCGCCCTCCAGTACTATACCTTTTTGAGAGTCGGCAACAGTGAAGCCCATTAGCACCCAGTGGTCGGCCTTAAGCCAAAAGCCGTATTTAATGCCTGTTATGATCGCATGTTTAGAGCCGGTGAGTCTGATTGGGGCCGAGGCTGTGCCCGATATGTTGGTCTCAAATGAACCATGGTAATTGCCGTCGTGTAAGCGTATGGTATCGCCCGGTGCTGCCGATGACAGAGCGCTGGACAGTTGGTCATCGTTGCACACCTTAATGATTTTGCAGTTGCCGTATACAGCAAGACAACTGAGCGTTATTATTAGCACAAACTTCATTGTTATTGCAATCGTGTATATATAATAATTAAGACTTATTTATTTAGTTAGTATTGTTCATTAGTAAAACAATATGGTTGAGCCAGCACCTTTTTAATGAATTTGGTGTTTATTGCTTATTAGTTTTAATATTATAATTTAGTTATAAATGTTGTATCATTATAAGCTATTGTATAAAATAAATGTGTATTTATAATCTACTAATTTGTAATAAATTATATTTGCATAAAATCTTTGATTGATATTTGTGTTTGTTTAAAAATTATTTAAGTTAAGTAAAATATAAAGTAAGTTGCTAAACAAAGTGATTGTTATCAAAATTAAATATCTGCAAAGAATAACATTTGTTAAGTGTTTTCAAGTTATTATTTTACCTTGATCAAATCTACGAGTGCATTGTATACATCAGCAAAAAATGATGATAATTAAACAACCACTATAATTAATTGCATTAAATGTCTTAATTATTAAAATTATTATATTTTAAAAATCACATTTTATATTTAATTATTAATGCTGAATATCCAATTTTACACAATTTTAACTTTTAATAAAAATGTACATACAGTACAATAGTTTACGTACAATTTAAATAACTGTCAAAGCATCTGTTATTAGGGTCTCTCTTTCAAAATTTTACTTTTGTCAAGTATTTCATAAAACTTTTATTTACCAAAGTTAACTGTATATAATTAATCACCACGGTGCAAATCCTTTATATACGTAATGCTCAACAAAACTATAAAAATTTAAACATTTGCAAAGCAATTTTGATTAAATAAATTTTATTGTCGTATTTGAATATAATTATTAATTGTAAATTTAAATTTTAAAATGTTTGCAAAAATAATAATTATTGTACTATATTTTGAGTTTAGCGAGGGCGTTTCATTAAGTGCCAAACAATTTGATGTAAAATTTTTGCTCTACACCGACCATAACAATCAAACCGAGCATTTTTACCCACATAGCGCTGCGATCGAGGCACATATTACCAAGTCTAAATCATTGCCTCAGTTATGGTCAAAATTATTATAAATGGCTATAAGAGCACTCTGAATGCGCCTGGTCCAAAACCATTCGTGGTGAATTTTTGAAACACTTTGATTGCAATGTAGTGCTTGTGGACTGAAGCCGATTAGCTAATCAGACCCAAATTATTATAAATGGCTATAAGAGCACTCTGAATGCGCCTGGTCCAAAACCATTCGTGGTGAATTTTTGAAACACTTTGATTGCAATGTAGTGCTTGTGGACTGAAGCCGATTAGCTAATCAGACCCAAAACCTATTTATATTAAAATCATTAATGTAACTTAATTAAGAAAGCTGATTGATATATACCATGCAATGCAAAATATACCATTGGTAGGTTTGAAGGGGCATTTGAAACAGTTCATAAAACAGCCAGGTT